GGCATCACCCTGACAATGGAAGGTGTAATAAGCTTACAACTGTCCCCCAAGAGTGCAGGTTTAATCGAGTCTATTGTCAACTCGTCCAAGGTAAAATTATTTGCTTAAATTTATCACATGTAGTGTTTAAATTTGTTAAAAGTTTTAGAAGAGTATGTCAATATTTTTAGGAAGTAATTGAGCAAACATATAGAAGAGGTTTAATGCTGAAAAATAATGATTGTGTTATATCAGATATTTAAATCTGAACATTTTATCTTCAAAATTATATACTTGGTAATTCTAAATATTACATGATATGAAAACTTTAGTTACCAGAAGATTTTGTAATAGTAACCCAATGGTGCCGGGGAAAATGAACAAAAAATGGGGAAAATATTGTGCCCACTTTCTATGTTTTTCGTGAAATGTCTGCTGATAGATGGCTCTGCTAGCGCCTGATTTAAATGGCGGGAAAAACGTATTTTTCACTAGTGCTGTGAAAATCGATGGTGTTAATTTTATCATAAACATTATAATTTTTATAATTTTTTTTAACATTAGTAACAGCAAATAAGATTACGTAAAATATTTTGTAAATCAAAGAAACGGGTAAACGGGCGAGACGGGCGGTGCTCGTAACTGGCTCATTGAGGAGTTAGTACAAGTGTTTCCATCTATGCGTAAAAACAATCACTGTGGGCATAGCACGTACATACACGTCATACCCGGCACGAAGGGGCTAAGAGATTATTAACAAGATGGTGTAACATTAAGGCATTAGAACAATAATAAACTCACAAATGTGGCATTATGAGCTTACAAATTTTAATTCATAATGATGTCTTTCTATTGTCATTAAGTTTTGATGTTGTCATTGAATGTTATGGTAAGTTTCAGATTAATTTAGAGGAATTATTCATTTCAAAGTGTTCAAAGCAGTACTTTTTTAAGTGACCATCAACCTTCTTTCTGTTTTAAACCTGTTATAATTTTAGATTTTATTCTGTTTTACAACAACAGAATGTCTATTAGTTTTATTTAAGTGTATATTATATTCCTTAAGTCCCATATACTGTTTTGGCCATTCTAGTCAAGCCTTTATTATTTAGACTTTCTGACTAAAGTAACTAATTGAAGTACCACAGGTTTCAAATACTGGCAAAACTTTTACCAATCTAGCCCCAAGAAAGTTAACCCATTAAATCCAGATGCTTCACTGCCATTAGGGGCATTAGCCTTACTTAAGTAGCCACTCTGCAAGTGTACAGCTCGTAGGCTGGGTGCACATGAACACTCGTGTGCAGTAACAACTCTCCATAACCACTTTTAGCTTTTTTGCCATTTTCCAATTTCTATATTTGATTTGCTTTATCCAGATGGTAATAGATTGTTTTCCTTGCACAGACTCCATATCATCTCTATAGGTAATCTATAACTCAGTGCAATAATAGTAATGATAAGTATCAATATGCTATTTGTGTGTTTTTTTTGTTTTGTTTTTTCTTATTAAATTTTCTGTAATACAGCCTGTATCTTCAGCCAAAATGCCCATAACAACAAGTTCATGTCACCTCAGGCCTAATTTTTTTCATGACGTGATGGTCACATCATCTGGATCATAAGGGTTAATTACTATTTAAATAACCTTTCATCACTCATAATGATTTTGTTGAAGTTATTTGTGGTCTGCAATTTGTTTCAAATCTGAAGTGATTTTATTCAGTATTCTACATAGCTTTTATATTTGTCAGTCACATGTTATAACATTATAGTCAACTCAAAAGAGTTTTAGAGGACGTTATCTTTAAAGACAGATTTTGAAATTTAACCCAAATCTGACGGATATGTCATGTATGTACATGCCATCCCCACTGTGAGTTTACTTTATTAATTATTTTTACACATAGATGGCTACACTTGTACTAAGTCACCAATGAGTCAGTTACAAGTACTGCTTGTCATTCCTATTTACCCTTTTCCTTGATTTTCGAAAATATTTTATGTTATTTTATTTTGCAGTTACTAATGTCTATAACATTATAGTAATTATAATGTCTGTAATGACACCATTGATATTCATAGCATTAGTAAAATTCAAGGAAAGGTGAAATCTGGTAAGGTCAAAGGTCTACTAATTGACCCCTTTGTGGCTAAGCATAAGCAAAGCCATCTATGTGCAGAGACATTTCTCAAAATGTTTAAAATGAGCACAGCATTTTCCCGGTGGCATTGGGTTAACTCAAGACTTTTTATTGAGAAACAAATTATCACATACTTAATCCATTTTTCCTTTATTTCCAGCCAATCAGTATCATAAACAATGTAGTAGAGGTGGCAAAGTCAGGCAAAATCCCATCTGGCCAGACAGAAATACCCTTTGAGCTCCCCCTAAAGGTTCGAGGTTCGAAGACTCTCTATGAGACGTACCACGGGGTGTACATAACAATACAGTACTTTTTGAGGTGTGATATTAAGAGGAGCCTGTTAGCAAAAGATGTTACAAAGGCACAGGAGTTCATTGTGGAGTATAAGGTATGAATGATGTGTTTTATTTTTTTTTATTTAAGTTTTATCACTTTGGTAACTTTTAAAATCCAAGCGTGAGTATTGCCATCCCTGTTTAAATTTTAGTAGTTTCTTATGCAGTAGTAATACCAAATATAAAATACAAAAATTATTAGTCGTATTTTTTTTTTATTTACCAACGTATATCTGTTATGCTCTGTAAAGCTGATATATAAGATATTGATCACTTTTCTATTTCAGCAAGGTGTGGGGGAGGTAGCCCAGCCAGGCTTGATAAACTTCGAAATGCGGCCGGAGACACTGCCAAATGTAAGAGACAGAGCCCGCATTCCCAAATTCCTTGTGCGAGGACACCTAGACTCAGAAGTGTTCTCGCTTTCCAAACCACTGACTGGAGAAGTGAGTTGTTGTTTTTTTTCTTTTCTTTTTTTTAATGTAAACATGTTCCTAGTAAAATCTAAAAATTAGTGATATTTTATTGATTAAGGTATAGATTTTGATTAAGAGATTAAAAGCAAATTAGACTGTGTATATAGAGGTTTTTTAATCTTTAAGTCCATCACACAGAGCCTTGTTTAAACCGTTACAGCTCACTGTGTGTGAGTGCGAGAGAGGAATTAGCAGCATTGAGCTCCAGCTGGTCCGAGTAGAGACCTGTGGATCAGCCGAAGGAAACACAAGGGAAGGTAATTGAAGGCTTGTAATGCATATGAAATCGAGGAATTTGATTAAATTCTCTGATGTTTGAAAATTATTTCTTCTTGTAAGGGAATATGATACTGTTTTTTTTTGTTTTTTTTTTCTTTTAACAAAAAGCATCCTTTCCCTTATATTTCAAAAATTATTGGCAGATTCAGGAAAGTGACAGAAAGGTGTTACATATCTATCAGAAATTCAGGAAAACTTATTAGTGTTACTTAAAGATTTTATTACTTTCTTGCCATTTATGATGATTTTTAAAGATTGTTATACATTTTTTTCATTAATATTGTTATTACTGCTGCTGTTTTCATGATCATCATTTTTATTTTTCTGATTATTACTATCACTATCATCATAATTATCATTGCCATCATCATCATAATGATCATTATCACCATTATTATTTTGATTATAATCATTATTATAACAACTGTTCTCATTATCATTATCATTGTTATTGTGATCATTATCATGATTATCATTATTGTTGTTACAGCAACAGAAATTCAAAACATCCAGATTGGAGAAGGTGATGTATGTCGAGGAATCGCCATACCCATTTACATGGTCTTTCCGAGATTATTCACTTGCGCAACAACTGTTGCCCCCAATTTTAAAATAGGTATGTATTTCTTTTTAACCCATCTGCCCCACTTGGCAAGAATAGATGCCATACCCACTTTGATACACTTTTATTTATTGTATTTACACATAGATGGCTCCATAAGTTCTTAATCACCAAATAGCCAGTTATCAAGAAATACCTATTTCACCTGTTTAACCTTTTCCTTCACTTTAGGAAAGGGTTTTTTGTATCATTCCTTTGTCTAAAATATTCTAAAGACAATTTAATAATCATAACATCAATAACAATAATAACAGTATCGATAGCAATGGTATTAATTTTCCCGCCAGTTCAATGAATGGGAAAATCAGGGTTGGTAACTAGGGCCTACTGATAGACTCCTTGCCGGCTGAGCACATGTGGAGCCATCTGTATGTAACAAAATTCACCAAAAACTACAGGGGACAGAACATAAATCCACGGCGAATGGGTTGATATCTGATAGTTGTAAAAGTGGTTAGAAAGTAGGAAACCTAATGATTTGTGAATAATGTAATAATGATTTTTAAATGCTAAATGCAGTATTGTAATTAGTAATGAATTATATTGAAATACCATAATATGTCTTTAGTTGTGCATAAGTCAAGTCATAAATTAAGGTAGTTTAGTTCAGCATAGCTTTCAATTATTTTTGTTGTTGGATAATACTTTGTTCTCTATTTTCTTTTCTTCTCTTACAGAATTTGAAATGAACATTGTCATTATATTTGACAATGACCATCTAGTTGTTGAAACTTTTCCCATTAAACTTACACGTCACTGAGGCATAATGGATCGTTTTTACCTGGTATGTTGAAAAGCTTGTTTCTTGGTGCATATGAAAAGCCAAACACTTTGCTGAAGTAATTTCTTAATTTAATGTTATTCTGATCTTGTTTATCATAGGAACACTGCTGTTAAGAATTGAGGAGGTGCATTCTTTTGGAATTTGCCCTGCCTGCCTGATTAAATGATAAAAACATGTGCTGTGGTCAAGCTTAGGGGTAGGAACCATCTCCTGTACACTATACACATGCATTTTATATTTAATTTTCAAGTGTTTTTACATGTTGATTGAGGAGTTTGATTTATTCCACACATTCCACTTCAGATTGGTTATGTAATGGATATTGATGCAGTAATTTGGGTTATTATTTTAGTGGGGTAGAAAAAAATTATCTGTATA